CTTACAAAATAGGATACACAAAAGAAAAATTCTACTACATCCAAAAAGGTCACTTTCAAAATATCTCCTCCTGTTGTATTTTTCATTGTAAGGATATTTCCCTTAATCCTTCATTGTAAGAATATTTCCCATAATTAGTTTCACTTAAACGCTCAAAATTTCCCTTAGTCAGACTATGACTACTATCTTCCATTTTATATACAAAAACCAAATTCCTACATAGAAACAAGAATGTTGACTTAGGCAACAGGAGAGTTGGACACAGGTATTAGCTGTGCCACTAGTTAGTTCTATGACTTTAGATGGTCATTTTACCTTTTTATGCCCCAGTGTCTTCATCTGTGAAACAAGATGGTTCATCTTACCTCACACCATACCTTAAAAAATTAACTCAAAATGTATGTAAAAAGCTACACTTAGAAGAAAACACAGGAAAGAATACCTTTGTGATGTTGGATTAGTAAAAATCTCTTAGATACACCCCACCAAAAGTACAATCAATAGAAGAAAAAGTGATAAATAAAACTATCAAAATTCAAAACTTTTTTGCCTTAAAAGACACCGTTAAGAAAATGAAAAGACGGGCGCCTGGGTGGCTCAGTTGGTTAGGCGACTGCCTTCGGCTCAGGTCATGATCCTGGAGTCCCGGGATCGAGTCCCGCATCGGGCTCCCTGCTCGGCGGGGAGTCTGCTTCTCCCTCTGACCCTCCTCCCTCTCATGCTCTCTGTCTCTCATTCTCTCTGTCTCAAATAAATAAATAAAATTAAAAAAAAAAAAAAGAAAGAAAATGAAAAGACAAGCTACAGACCGGGCAAAAAAATATTTGAAATCATGTATCAGGTGAAGGACTGACAACCAAATGAACACATATACACACACACCCTATAACTCAATAAGAAGATAACCCAGGGGCAACCCAAATGGGCAAAATATTTGAATAGACATTTCACCAAAGGAGATATATGAAAAGCACATGAATGAATAAGCACATGAAAAGATGCTCACCATCATTAGTCATTAAAGAAATGCAAAACAGAACCACCAGATACCACTTCATACCCACCAGGATGGCTATAATCAAAGACAACAAATGCTGACAAAGATAAATAGGAACCCTCATACATGGCTGGTAGGAATGAACAATGATACATTTTGAAAAGGTTTATCAGTTTCTTAAAAAGCTAAACATAAATTTACCATATGACCCAGAAATTCCACTCAAGGAAAATGAAACATGTTCACATGAAGATCTGATGAGTGAATGCTCATAACAGCATTATTCCAAATAGCCAGAAAGGAGAAACAACACAATGTTCATCACGTGGTGTCCAACAGAAAGGAATAATGTACTGATATAGGGTACAACATCAATGAATTTCGGAAAACATTATAGCAAGTCAAAGAAACCAACATAGAGGATCACATATTATATGATCATATTTACATGAAATATCCAGAAAAGACAAATCTATAGAGGCAGAAAGTAGATTTGTGGTTGCCTGCGGCAGGGGGTGGGAACAGGGAGTGACTGCAAATGGACATGAGGCATCTTTTTGGAATGATGGAAATGTTCTAAAACTGGATTGTGGGGATGATTGAACAACTCTGTAAATTTACTAAAAAATTATACAATTGTATACTTATACAGGTGGATTTTGTGGTATATAAATTATAACCCAGTAAAATTGTTTTTACAAATGAAAAAATATTATGCTAAGTCAAAGAAGTCAAACACAAAAGACAATATGTTATTATGATCTCATTTACAGAAAATGCCCAGAAAAGGCAAACCTATAGAGACAGAAAGATTTGTGGTTGCCTGGGGTTGGGGGTGGGAACAGGGATTAACTGTAAACAGGCCCAAGGATCTTACTGGGTGATGAAAATACTCTAAAACTGGATTATGCTGGCTGGTGCACAGCACAGTAAATCTACTAAAAACCACAGAATTTTGTACTAAAAAAAAATGGGTGAATTTTATAGCATTAAATTATACCTCAGTAAAGTTATTTTTAAAAATAAGATGGTCAAAAATCACATTGGAGTTCTTAAACCTTTTACCCATGGCCCACTTTAAGAATGAGATGAAGACTAACCCTATCCCAGAGGACTAAGACTCCCTTTTGCCCACTCACAGACACCTTATTGGCTTGAGGATACCAAATTAATAAGTCTCTAAGTCTCTAGAACCTTATGCCACCTTAACAGCTAGGCATAAAAAATGACCACAGAAAGATGTATACCTTCCCAGAAAGGAAAGCAATATTCCTCTTCTAAAACAATGATAGGGATCCACTTTCTTTACTTTTCAGACATCATTTTCAAATTTCTCACTTAATTTCTTTCTTCAATATGAAACTGACTGAGGGACCCAGAAGCAATCAATCAAGACAGAGACCTAGCTAGCTGTCTTTAGAACCAACCAGTGTATATGTCAAATACCCAGCAAGGACACCCATGACATGGCTTAAAGAAAAAGATGTGATTTCTTTCAGATAAAACTTAGCCCAGATTTGTTTTGAAACAAGAGGCAGGGGCGCCTGGGTGGCTCAGTCATTAAGCGTCTGCCTTCGGCTCAGGTCATGGTCCTAGGGTCCTGGGATCGAGCCCCACGTCGGGCTCCCTGCTCAGTGGGAAGCCTGCTTCTCTCTCTCCCACTCCCCCTGCTTGTGTTCCCTCTCTCGCTGTCAAATAAATGAATAAAATCTTAAAAAAAAAAAGAGGCAAAAAAGAAATATGATAAAGTTTCTCTAAAATACAGACACATTGCAATAAACACACCTGGAAGGCAACTAAAGAGTTTTCAGCCAGTCTTTGTTATAAAACTAATTTTAGGACAGGATGCTGATCTAGCTAAGTAGACAATCTCCTTCCTCCAATACAGAGGGGTCTGCTCATGTCAGTGAGATTGAGCTTCTGTGTAGCTAAACCCACCCCCTTTTGATTTCTAAAGTCACTGGATTATTGTTGTCCAACAAATACTCCCCTCATCCCAAGTCCCCACCCTCCCCCAATCACTGTGCCTGAGAATTACAATCCACGTTTGTGCAAGTTTTGGTCTCTGCCCACTGGTATTCCTGGACCTCAAGTCCACTCCACACACAGCAGCCAGATCCCTCAGATCATGTTCCGTCTCTGCCTGAAGCCCTCCAATACACTTAGAATAAAATTCCAAAATCCTTACCAAGCCTGAGAAGATCCCCTTTCTATCCTTGCCACTTTTCCCTCAGGTCCTGAAACACATCAAGCTCTTTCCCTCCTCAGCACCTTTGCACTTCCTCATCCCTCAGTAGGGAAAAATCTTCCCTGAAATCCTAAGACTCCTCATCCTTTAGCGCTCGACTTAAATGTCAACGCCTCAGAAAAAAAATTTTCCTTGAAATCACCCTAACTAGGTCTCCCGGTCACTCTCTATCAGAACATCTTGTTTATTTCCTTCCTGGCACTTGCCAAACCTTGAAATTCTTTTCATTTGTCTAGTTATTCAATGTCTCCCCCCCAGACTAGAAAGTCACTCCCAAACAGTGCCAAGTTGTGTCTACGTTGCCTCGGTGCCCGGTAGCTTCAGTTTCATCTGGAGAGAATCCCCAGCTCCACCCCAGCAATGTTTGGCACTTCGTGGGCACTCAAGTGTTCTCACACCCGCGCGGGAATGAACTAAAACCCCCTATCCCACAATCCCCCAAATAGGTGGCTGTGCCCACAACTCCAATAGCCTATTTCTCATACAGCCTCCTAAAGGCCTGTCCTGTGCCTGCACGTTTCTTCCCCTCCCAGACCCATCTATCGCTCAGGTTCAAATATCTGTCACTGCCCAAATCTCCCACGAGCCCCTCAAACCCCACCCCACCAGCCTCACAGGCTCGCCACAAAATCCCCTCCCCGCCTTGCACAAACCCGGAGCCTCACCCACGCGCCCTACAAACCCCTGTCCCCACGAGCGCCCACGAGTATCTGAGAGTCCTGCGCTCCCCGAGCTCCCGCGGGTCCCCACGTTCCCGCGTGTCACCCGCCGCCCTGAGCGCGCCTCCCCCCTCAGCGGCGCCGGCTCTCACCGATCACCTCCTGCAGCTCGTAATCGTCCCTGTTAATGGACCAGGGCAGGGCGCTCGAGTCCTCGGACATGACGGCGGCAAGGCTCGCGATCCTCCCTCAAACTCGCTGACCTCTCTCGTCTGCTCGCCGCGCCTCTCCCCACCCCCAACCACCGCCGCCGCCGCCGCGCCCCCAGCAACTGCCTCGGGAACAGCCACGGGTCGGACGGCGTCTGGGCGCGGGGTCACCGCGCGGCAGAGCGGCGGGGGCTCGAAGCTCCGGCGGACCTCTCCTCCCGCTCGTCCGCGTCCGGCACTCCCCGCCCGGCCCAGGTCCCGGCCTCGGCCTCCGCTGCAGCAGCGACAGGGTATCCGCTTGGGCCCAACCCCTCCGTCCCGCCCTCCACCCCAGCCCCACGCACGGGCCAAACTTTCCCTTCTCCCTCCACCTGCCGACACGCAGCGCGCTGACGTCACCGCGCCGGGCAGGCCCCGCCTTGGGCCCGCCTCCGGCCGCCATCTCAAATGTGGCTGTATAGGCACCGAGCTAGCCAGAATTCCGAGGAGGAAGTTGACAGTGGAAGGGAACAAATGCTTAGGAAGGAGTTCAGAGAGGGTATCAGAAAGCCAGAGGAGAGCCTAAAGTAGCACGAAGGTGGTAGCCACACTAATCATGGCGACCAAACGACGACCCAGTGGAGGGGGTGGAGCCACTCCTGGCGGCTGGGGCACGCTGCCGTCTCCCCGTCGTCTCATTTATTGGTTTGTTTGAGAAGGAATCAGAAAGGCAATGGGTGGGTGTGGACGTCAGTCAAAGTTAGTCCCGCCTCTGGACTCTCCGCGCGCTTCTCAGCGCCAGGGCCGCGTGAAGATCGCCAGTACGTTGCTCGCTTTGCCCTTTTCCCGGAGTGATGTCACGGCGTATCCGTCACACCCTCGAGACGTGCAAACGGCTCGGTAGGGTGTGGAGAAGCTGGAGGGCGCAGCTGGGTGGGGTAGCCTTGGGGTGTGGACAACTGCCTACCAGGATGAAAGGCCTTGAGCTGTGGGACGAAGTGGAACTGGAAGCTTGCCCCTTGACACTTTTTTCAAGGGGGAAGTGCTCTCTGCAGCGTCTGTCGCCACCCTCTCTGTCACCTGATTGGGCAGGGAGGGGAGTCCTTGTCTATTCTCAGCTTTGGGTCCAGAGCTCAAAGGAGCACCTGTCTTGGGGGACTCGAAAAGTTGGGCTTTTTCTCCTGCCGCGGCTTGGGCCATTAAACAAGTGAGATTCGGTCCATGTGATTTGGCGTCGTTGCAAGGGCCTTGACTTTTGTGTGACCTCCCCGAATTCGAGTTTTCTCAGGTTGATCAGTTGGGTCCATTGGGGAAATTTCTGAGGTGGAAATTAAATAGAAAAAGAGAGCATCGGCATGAATTGAACATCTTTCAGACCAGGAGTAGTCGTTAAGGAAGAGAGACCTTCGCCGAGGCCCTACCAGGCCCTGGAAGCCCTGTGCTGAGCTCTTGCTATAAGGAGGGCCACTGACCACAAAACAAAAGTAGTCAACCAGGAGCTGCGGGAATGGAACTGTTAGGTTTCCACCTGGTTGGTGGGATTGGAGAACATTTCTCGTGGAAGAGGTGGCATTTGTACCAGGCCCTGCAAAGGTAACATGATTTCAACAGGTGGAAACTGCGAAAATAGAATATTCCAGTCACAACCAAAAGGCCATTTCCCATGTTTGAAAGCAGAACACAGGCCTTGCTGTAGGAATTGGTTTCAGCCATTACCACTTTACTGCTATGTGTTGCCTTTCTTTTTGCAGGGAGAAGAGGTATGAGGATCAAATATATAGGAGCTAAATCTGATGGTAAAGATTAGAGATCTCAAGGTTTGTACCGGTAAAAAAAAAAGTCCATAGAGACTGTTAACCTGGGATTGTTGGCCTGCGTGGACCATGGACAGACTTCAGAAGTTTGTGTAAGTTTTTTTGTTTGTTTGTTTTACTCCCTTGAAATTATATGCAGAATAGTATATACTTCAGGGAGAGATTTTGACCAAAACCTTTCTCCTTCCCCCTTCCCCAGTGGAAAGGAGCTACTAACCTAATAGTGAAAATTAGTATGTTAATTGACCCACATTCTTCATCAATGAGTTCTTCTCTCCCTCCTTCACACATAGCTTGATGGTGTAGTTGAGCCAGAATCTGTTCTGCAGATCTGGTTACTTTATTTTCCTGTCTCCAGGTCTTTCTCCATGTGGCCTGATAGAGGTTAAGATTCCATGTTTTTAATGAGCAAGGAATTGGTGGCTATTTGAGCCCAGGAGCCCAAACCTCAACCTCTTTCTCAGCTTATGGAGCATCTTCCATGTGAGAACACTGTCATAAACACCGGGTATACAGTGATAAACAAAGTGACTTAGTTACTGCTTTCATGAGCGTAGCGTCTACTAGAGAAACAGTAAACAACTAAGCAAATACATAAATAGATATGTTATAAAGCATCATGCAGAAAAGGCCAGTACAGATCTTCTTCGACTTATGATGGGGTTATGTCCCAATAAACCCATTGTAAGTTGAAAATATTGTAAGTGAAAATGCACTTAATACACTTAACCTCCCAAACATCATAGCTTAGCCTAGCCTACCTTAAACATGCTCAGAACACTTACATTCACCTACAGTTGAGCAAAATCATCTAACACAAAGCCTGTTTTATAATTAAGTGTTGAATATCTCATGTAATTGAATACTGTATTGAAAGTAAAAAACAGAATGGCTGTATGGGTACAGGATAGTTGTAAGTGTATGGTTGTTTACCCTGGTGATCACGTGGCTGACCGGGAGCTGCGACAGCTGCCACTGGCTAGCCCACCGGGAGAGGATTGTCCCACATAGCACTAGACTGGGAAAAGATCCAGATTCAAAATTGAAGTACAGTTTCTACCAAATGTAGAATGTACCATCATAAGTCTAAAAACTGTAAGTCAAACCATTGTAAATTGGGGACCATCTGTATACCGTGCTAGAAAATACTTAAGGAGTTTGGCAAACATCCTCTATGAGAAAACTGTAGAGGAAGCCACTCATAAAGAGAGTATTTTAAACAGGTAAAAGGAGTTTTAGGCACGTTTGAAGCTATTAAAGTGATACTTTCATTCCTGTTAGGCTGCCAGTCCTTGGATATGGCTCCCTCCATAATGTTTTGGAGGATGGGGAGTGGGAGGAGGGAGAGAAGTTTGGGTGAATCTGGAAGCCTGGACCTAATATCAAAATTTCACCAAATCCTACCTAGGTTTCTTGAAAATATGACATATTTTCCTGGGGAGAGAGGCCTTGTTTTTCCTCACATTTTCAAAGAAAGCCTTGTGTTAGTTTGGATCTCTCCCCAAATCAGGCACTAAAACCCAGATTTGGATGCAAATAGTTTATTTAAGAGATGTCTCCAAGAGGCACTCTGACAGAATGGAGAAGTGAGACAGGAAGGAAAGTCATTAAAAGATGAATTAATGAGTGGGCTCAGTGATGCTGTGAACTGTCTGAGAATCAGGAACAAACCCCAGAATTGTCCCACGAAGAGGTAGCTGAGGTACTTACCCACCACCTCCTTTCCCTCTTTAGGGTATTGCTCCTGTACTTCTACCTAGCTCAGTGCTGGGAAAAACATGCTCCCGAAGGCAGAGAATGCACTCAGGCAACAGACACAGGCAATCTTCCTCATGTACTAGAATGCTCTGAAAGTAAACTCCAGAGTAAGCCCAAAGGGTATAGACAGCATCTACTACAGTATATAAACCCAAAAGTTGAGAATCACTGCCTAGACTGAGAAACCCAAAGGGGAAGTATATTCATGCTTCCCCTTCTATCTTTGTTGCCTTTAAGCAACTTACCTGCATTGTGTTCTGCTTTTAGCACCTGCAGGATAGAGAAAAAAGGACTGATTTCAGGACTAGTGATGCCTTCAAGTGGTAATTACAGCTGTAATAATTCAAGTTTTTTTTTGTTTTTTAAAGATTTTATTTATTTATTTGACAGAGAGAGACACAGCGAGAGAGGGAACACAAGCAGAGGGAGTGGGAGAGGGAGAAGCAGGCTTCCCGCTGAGCAGGAGCCCGATGCGAGGCTCGATCCCAGAACCCTGGGATCATGACCTGAGCTGGAGGCAGACGCTTAACAACTGAGCCACCCAGGCGCCCCTGTAATAATTCAAGTTTTATAGGCTCCTTTAATGAAAGAAAATTTTTAAAGTCTAGAAATTGATGTGTATCCTATATAAGTAACCTGAATAAAGAAAAAGCACAATTTTATGTCTTTGTTATAAACCAATTTTCTCAGCCCTTCCATGTCAATGCCAGGACCAACTGTAGATTGCTAGACTCTGCCCCCCCACCTCATCAGTCCCTTATCACATGTCACATGTGCTATAACATCATCTCTTGTTATGAGAGGGGACAATACCCATACCTTACATAGGTGTGCTTCCTCCCTTGTGCCTGGAACGGTACCCCACACAGGCCCATATTCAAGTGTCGTGTTCAGTAAATAGGTGGAGCATGAGAGTACAGGAGACATGCACAAACGAGGAGTGTGGAGCCTGGCAAGAAGCTGATATCTTGGCAAACCCAGGAAATGAATGTCCAAGGGGACAGGCACTGAGAGCATGTAAGAAATAGGTGGGTGCAAAGGTTACTGTAGGAAAAAAATGAGTCTGTGCAGAAAGGAGAATCTCAGCGTCGAGCTGGATTCTGAGCCAGAGAGTAGCTTGAATGGCACCATGCAGCCAACTTGATGAGCTCAAGCCGAATTAAGCAAAAGATGGGAAATACCTCACTGAGGTGGAGCAGGTTCCTATATGCCTGCTCCATTTCAAATACTACTCTTAAGGGTTTAGTATGTCTAAAAACCTACCTCATTAGGATGTTTATTGTAGCATCATTGTAATAGGGAAAAACTGGAAATAATCTGCATGTCCTTTGATAGAGGACTGGCAATTGCTTGTATTTCAGGATACATAAGAAATGTGTGTGTTGTTATAATTAATGCTAGCAAAAATTACATCCCCAAAAGTTGACTCGTTTAACCCAGAAGCTTATTTCTCACGTAAAGTCCAATGCTGATGTTCCTAGTTCCTTTCCTCCAAGCAAAGAATCAGAGGTTTTGGTGTCTAATGTCTTGTGGCAGCATCTTCTAGGGCCTCCTTGGAGTCCTCCACTGGACTCTGCATTCAGCCAGCTAGTTAGCTAAGAGAGAGAAGACCACAAAAGGTAGCAAACACTGGAAATTGTGTCTATTACTTCCTCCCTTGTTGTGATGGTCAGACCAGGTTGTCTGACCCCAACCTAAGTCAAGGAAACTGGGACATGGCTTCCTGTGTGCTCAGGAAGAAGAAATAGTGGTGAGCATCTGGCCAATCTCTGCTGCAGCTACTAACTTTGGTTGCCTCCAGGCCAGTGCTACTGACTTCTTGAGGAAGAGGAGTAGGAGGAATATGCTCTTGTACACATTGGATTTTATAAATCCAAATATTACCTGTTCAAAAAAATTAATTAAAAAAGAGGAGACTGTAAAATTATGGGTCATCCATACCGTGAAATATTACACAGCAGTTAGAAAGAATGAAGTACATCTATGCATACTGGAATAGGATGATCTACAATTAAGGTAAACAAGCAAGTTTTAAATAAATTAGATTTCAGCATTGCTTAGTTTGGGCTACTATAATAAATTACCATAGACTGCTTGTTTAAACAACAGACATCTTTTTCTCGCAGTTCTGGAGTCTGGGAAGTCTAAGATCAAGGTGCTGGCAGATCTAGTGTCTGCTGAGAGCCTGCTTCCTGGCTTCTAGATAACTGTCTTTTCATTGTTTCCCCATATGGTACAGAACAGAGAGCAGGAGGAAGCCCTAATCCCATTTATGAGGGCTCCACCCTTATGACCTAATTACCTTCCAAAAGTAAGCCTAATAGCATGTTCAGGGTTAGGATTTCAGTATATGAATTTGGGGGAGACACAAACGTTTAGTCTATAACATACATGTATGTGAATGTATAGAATAAGGTCTTGGAAATGCTTGGAGGTGCAATACACATTTGTGTGTATTGCTATAACTGTAAGAACAAAACATTCCAATAATTTATAGCACTACCAGTGTAAATTCTTGAAGTAATTCATTAAGATTGATTCCACAGCAGTATTTTGGGGGCCCAGAAATAGAAACCCCAGCTGCGTTAATAATCAAGAAAATGCAGATTAAAACTAAAGTGAGGGGGCGCCTGGGTGGCTCAGTCGTTAAGCATCTGCCTTCGGCTCAGGTCATGATCTCAGGGTCCTGGGATCGAGCCCCACATCGGGCTCCCTGCTTGGCGGGAAGCCCGCTTCTCCCTCTCCCACTCCGCCTGCTTATGTTCCCTCTATCGCTGTGTCTTTTTCTGTCAAATAAATAAATAAATAACCTTTAAAAAAAAAAAAAACTAAAGTGAGATACCATTTCACCCTCACCAGCTGGGCAAAATTTAAAAGCCAGGAAATACCAAGTATTGGCCAAGATGAAGAGCAGCAGAAGCTCTCAGGCTTTGCTGGTTGGAACGTCACTTGATGCAACTTTTTGGAAAGCAGGTTGGTATTACCTAGTAAAGTAGAACCTGTGCTTTCCCTGCAGCCCAGCAGTTCCACTCCTTGGTATATACACCCTAAATAAACTCCTGTGCGTATATTCCGAGCAAGATATATGAAAAGACTTCTATCATATGCTTTATAATAACTAGCTAAACAAAGGAAGTCACCCAAATGGAATGTAAAAACATCTATAGAATGGGTACTATATACAGTGGAAAGGTACTTATTACAGCTATATAAAAAATGCAGAGTAATCTCCAAAACAGTAGAAACAAAGTAACAGAAGAATACCCACGCTATGATTGCACTCACAAAAAGGTCAAAAATAGGCACAATTGAATAAGCTTTTCTGTATTCGATACGAAGAGCAAGGAAACAAAAAAATCCAGTTTGGTGATTGGCTCTAGGGAAAGGAGAGGGATGCTACCAGGGTCAGTCATGCAGAACACTTTCAAGATTTGGGTTACAAGTGCTCAATTACTTGTGTATGTTTGTGTGCTTTTTAAAGTATATTTCATAATTTAAAGTTTGGTTTCTCGTATCTCAGGCAGTACTGAAGTTTATGGTACCCCACAACCTGCTCTTTTCTTTCAAACTGAGGGGACTTCCAGCATGCTCTTCAGCCTGGTTTCACTGTGCCTCCCTGGGCCCCTTTGTTCAGACCAGTCCTTTTTTCAGGGATGCCACTTTTCTTCTCCACCTGTCTAAGTCTTGCTGGCTCTGCCAGCTTCAGCTGATGGTCCACCTCCACTTTGAATGCTTTGAGATTGTTCCAGGCCTGAGCAAAGTCATGTACACTTTCCACCACACCCAAACCATTTCTGGGCATGGAGCCTGTCCTGCCATGGGCCCACAGTCTTCTCTTTTTGTGATTATTCTGTATTTCAGATTAGGTTGTGGGTCACCCATTAGGAGCGGGCAATACCCTATCACTAGAAAGGAAGTAAAGGATTTTTGTGGAGTTTTGGGTTTGGTATTTTGTTTTGTTTTTTTGCCCACCTTAAGTTCTGCCAGCATGATGACAATTTAGAAATGTATGAAGAACTGCATTTCTCTCCTTTCTGGGGAAGTTGGCAAAAAGGTATATGCCATTTACTTCTCAACGTCAGGCAGGAGTTTCAGAATCTCTGAGGGTGGCTATCGTTTATAAAAAACATTTAAAAATGCAGGTATCTCTCATTAAACTCAGGAACCTAATACTCATTTATCTTCTGATAACTTGGTATCCCTCCCTCTCTGAACTCAGGAAATGAATAGATTCAGACAGCCTGGAACTTAATGCCTAGTTTCCTAATATAAATTCAGATAAAAAGCCCAATAAAATCTTTATAGCAACAATTAAAGTGCTTATAATGTGCCTGACAATGTGCTGAGGGATATAAATACCTCATGTAGTCTGTAAAATAGCCTTGTGAGGTTTTTATGCCAGTTTTACAGATGAGGAAACAAACTCAGAAAGTTTGAGGACTTGCCTCCAGAAATTCCTGGAAATGCCTAGCACAGTACCTGCCTTGTAAGTGCAGAGTAAGTGATAGCTGTCATTTACTAGCTGGTGGGAATAGAGCAAGAAAGCATTCTGGGGATGGAGGTTAAGCAGCAGTGCCTGCTATATGTCTGACTCAAGTCTGCTTACTCAGGACAGACAGGTTTCCACCATATGCATGATGTCATTCACACCACACTGCTGCTTGCCCGTGGCACACCACCTCATTTCTGATTGCAAAATCTGATGGAGGAAATAAAGGCTTTCTCTCTGATTCTCAGGGAATTGTGAAGGCTTGTTTGCCTTTAGCATCCAACCTGAAAAAGTGAATTCATGTTTCAGGTCTACCAAAATTAGACTCCCGGCTGCCTGGACATTGAGTTGGAAAATTCAGGACACAAGAAATGGGAACAAATGTGCCCTATCAAATGCAGTGCCCAGACGTTTATGAACTGTTCTCCATATGCACAGCTGTGAGCAGTCTGCCTCAAGAGGAAATTGCCTTCCATCATCCAAAGGGACCTGGACCCCAGAACTGATGTTATTTCCCTGCTGAATGGCAGCGGACCATGACAGAGGGAGGGCTCCCCGTGACCTTAGAGCAGAGTCTGAGCACCCCATCCAGCAGACAGAGAAGGTGTTATCCTACTATGAACAGACTCTTCTGGTTCAGTCTTATGGGGGAAACTTGATATCTTCGGTAAATGCTAACCCAGTGAGCCCTCTCCACGTCCCCATGCCATCCTCCCATGGAGCTTCTAGTTGGACATGAAGATAATAAAGCCCACCCTGACCTCTTACATAGAATTACATAAAAGTGTATGGACATTATAGGTAGGGAGGGGTTTCTACCTGCCCAAGAATTTAATCCACCCAAATCCTACAGAAAAAAAAAATAGTTAAAGATTTGGTAGCATTGTAGTAACTATTGTAGAATAGCTGGTGCTCTCATGGGCCTTCTTATGTGCCTGGGGAACAGCCTGAAAACGGGAACAAAGAGGAACTAACTCCACATATTGCAAGAGCACCCACTGATCTTCGGAAAGTAAAGCTGTAGAGACTGTGTTGCAGCTAGAAAAAACCTTTATCAGTAAGGAGTTGGGTAATTTCACCTGGAAATGTACATATGGTGTGCATGGTATGTTACATTTCACCTGGCAGGGAGACCTTGGAAGGAAGCAAATTTAGAGTGCCGAGAACCCCTTTGGAGGGTTCTAGGGAAGCAGGTGCATATGCAAGGGCACATACAAATGTGGCATTCTTCTGGGTTAAGTAAACCAGACTGTGGGAAATGTACTGCCAGGAGATGAGTGTGCCCACAGACCATCAATATAATTGTCCTTAGAGGGCCATAGTTCACAATTGTCCATACCAAAAGCCATGCCTAATTCACTCAGAGCATGGTACTCCTTCCATACTGTAGGGATGAAACCTCTCCCTACCTATAATGTCCAGACCGTGAGGGTCACTGCCCTGGAAAAAAAAGGAAGAGGGAATAAAAGTAACAGTTGTGTTTTCCAACCTGCAGGCATTTGGACAGGAGAAACAGAAGAGGGAAAGGAAGGAAGGCAGGCAGGCTCCAGGGTTCTCATTTTCCCCTAGCCACCCTCCCCAGTCCATCCAGATCTTGACTGGGGGAAACTATGGAAGACAGATACGGAGACTGTGGAGAAGCCAAGAACATCACAGGCTTGTAGACCACTTCCCCAGGTATGACATGAGGGAGGCTTCAGGCTGCTAGGGGAAGCCTTGCGCCTGGCTTTGCATCATGAACAAAATACTGTAGGAACAATAATGTAGCAATGATGGAGGGCAGAATCTAAGCCAGTGAAAACCAGGATACCCTACCCAGTTCCTATACTTGTTCTACAGGAGATCAAAAGCTTCCCTGTGTCCCACAAAGGCATGAGGAAGTGTTGTAGAGGCTTGCACTGAGAGTTGGAATGAAAAGCCTGCAGGGGTAGGACTTTGTGGCAGAAGGCAAATGTTGGGACCATGGACTTCAGCTCTGGGTGCTGGCATTACACTCCAAAGACCAGATTAGGCCCAGTGCATCTCAGCAGGTAATTATAGGAGCTCAGGAACCAGACCCAGTCTTTCATGGCAGAACCAGAAAGACAGTACAAGGACCTGCTCACAGGGATCCAAGGCAACTCTTCTATCACATAGTCATATTTGTGCCTTGCCTTTCCCATACTCCCAGATAACCATCTTGAAAAGATGAAGGGGAAGAGGAAAGAGAAGCAGCATTTACTTAAGAGAGACCAAGTTACCCCCAAAGACAATGTTTGAACCAAACTCATCCCATCCATTATTTACTGGTAAATCCAAATCTCCCCTTCACACCCAGCAGGACGGGCTTATGCGAAAGATTAGATTATAGAAAACAAAGTAGCTCCATTGTCTTTGCACCTCCAGCTTATAGGGTGAGTAAACATGCATCCCTGCTTTAACTTTTCTTGTGCTTTAGACTACAGGGCAGTCATATTAAGTGTCCAGTTACAATTAGCCCTTCAGTCAAGCCTCACCCTCACTGCTAGCAGTGCAGCAGGAAATGGGGGCCTTTGTAACAAGAGCAGCAGTGATCCAAGGCAGACCATGGGTGCAGTGGTCAACAGCAAAATGGGCAGAGCCCACAGTAGAGCAAGGAGGAGACCAGCAGTGGACATCATAGGACTGTGGTTGGATGAACACTGCAGGGGTTTGCAACAAACCCATTTTCTCAGGACCTCCTGGTTGCTACACACTGCATTAGGCTGCTGGCATTCCTGCTGCAACAATAGGCAAAATAACAATTTGTTTCTTTCTGCCCTAAAAGGCTGAGTGTAAGCAGTCCTGTGCTGATAGTTCGCCATAGTATCAGGTCCCAGGCCCTTCGCATCTTGTATTTACCATCCTGCAGCTTTTAGCTCCCATCACACATTCCTGCAGCATGAAGAAGAGGGAAAGTAGAGGGCACACACCTCTCTGTTAAGGTCATGAACTGAAAGTGGCACATAAAACTTTCTCTTCCATCCTAATGCCCAAAACTTAGTCATATGGCTACACTTAGGGTCTCAGCTGTGGCCACAAAAATGCTGTGTAACAAACAACCACAAAATATCAGTAGCAGCCAACAATAAGCATTAATTTCACATTCACATGTCTACAGATGAACTGGTGTTTGGCTAGTCTATGTTGGATTCAGCTGGACATGGCTCGCTGCGGCTTGGGTTCAGATCTCATCCTCTGGGATGTATCTCTCATCCTCTAGCCACCACCAAGCTCCCCAGGCCATGAGCTCATCACGGTAATGACCTTCATGGTAATAGCAGCATATGTATGCCTTGGTAAGTCATGTACATAGGTTAGAAGCTATGTGGAGAAGGTTGCCTGAGAGCAAGATTGGTGACCTGGCAGAGGTACGAACCCTTTTACTTCTGCACTTACCTGTCCAGAATCAGAATGGCAAGATGAAGGTCTGAGCCCACCAATTTCACAAGCACATTTAAAGCCTTTGCTTGGATCATGTCTGCTACCATCCCATTGGCCCACACAAGTCACATACCCAAGCTCAACATCAGTGGGTCAGGAAGTATACTCTCACGAAGAGAGGAGGGAAGTAATAAATGTCTTATAAATGTCTATGGTCTTTAGCAGGGTGGCCATATTAACTCCAGTTAAAACTCTGGAGTTCTATCCTCAAAGAAAGAAAAGGAAGCTAGATTTTGAGGATACCCTGTGCTACAGCGTGTATCAGTCAGGAGGCAGTTTCTTCTAATAGTTTAATGGAACCATGGATGTGTTCCCTGGTGGAAGTATCCTCTTTGGCACTAGAACTTACAAACCCACCAAGCCCAAGTTTGCAGAGATGAGAAGCACAAAAATTTCTTTGTAATTCATCAGGTGTAACAGTGAGGAGGGTCATCCCCCTCTTTACCCCTGTTTCCCAAAGCCATGCATTCTGGCTATGGCACCATAGACTGGCTGCTGATTTTCAAGGCTTATAAACTGAGACTTAAACAGGCCCACCCACTGTTCTACCAAACTAGCTCTTTCTGGGTGATAGGACATATGGTGAGACCAGGAATTCTAAGAGAGTGAGGCCACTGTCCCACTTGGTTTGCCATAAATGTGTCCCTTTGATGGAAGCAGCATCGTGTGAGATCAGTGTGGCATGAGATAAATGTGGCATTTTGCAAGTCCATAAACTGGTGATGCTGGCAGAGATGCTGCAGGCAGGAGAGGCAAATCCATACCCATGCTATGTGTGTCTATTCCTATAAAGACAAAGAACTTTCCCCAGCATGTTGAAAGGGGTTCAGTAACTGGGTGTCTGGCTGGCCCCTGTGGAAGTGGTACCATTTCTGGGCGCAACACAGCTTCTGAATAAACAAGCTGGGCACTCAGCAGCAGTACTCAGGGAAAGTGTAGCACTAAATGTCTTATGTTACAGAAGAACAGTCAAAAATCAATGACCTCAGCCTCCATCTTAATAAATTGGAAAAAAAAAAAAAGTAATTTGAACTCAAACAGAAGAAAAGAAATAATGACCAGAGTGAAATTCAGTGAAATACTAAACAAAAAATAGAGAAAAATCAATGAAACCAAAAACTGATTCTTTGAGAAAAAAAAAATCTCTTCAGTTGTTAAACCGGTAGTCGGATGATCAAGAAAAAGTACAGAAAACACAAATTACCAATATCAGGAATGACTGAGTTGACATCATCACAGTTTTTACAGATATTGAAAGGATAATTTAGAAATATCATGAACAACTTTTTTTAAAATATTTTTTATTTATTTGAGAGACAGAGCAAGCACGAGTGGTAGGAAAGGGCAGAGGGAGAGGGAGAAGCAGACCTCCGCCGAGCAGGGAGCCCCATGCGAGGCTTGATCCCAGGACCCTGAGATCATGACCTGAGCTGAAGGCAGACACTTAGCCACCCAGCACCCCTCATGAACAACTTAATGCCAATAAATTTAACAACCTAATGAAATGGATGCATTTTTAATGCTTTTTTTTTTTTTTAAGATTTTATTTATTTATTTGAGAGAGAGAGAGAATGAGAGACAGAGAGCATGAGAGGGAGGAGGGTCAGAGGGAGAAGCAGAGTCCCTGCCGAGCAGGGAGCCCGATGCGGGACTCGACCCTGTGACTCCAGGATCATGACCTGAGCCAAAGGCAGTCGCTTAACCAACTGAGCCACCCAGGCGCCCCTTTAATGCTTTTTTTTTAAAAAAGATTTTATTTATTTGAGAGTTCATGAGTGGGGGGAGGGAGAGGGAGAAGCAGACTCCCCTGCTGAGCAGGGAGCATGTCCTGGGATCATGACCTGAGCTGAAGGCAGATGCTTAACCAGCTGAGCCACCCAAGTGCCCCGAAATGGATGCATTTCTTGAAAGACACAATACTGGCAGTGGCCAGATCAGCTTGATGAGGGCAAGTCTATGTTGTTGAGCCCATCACTGTCTCCTTTCCTGTCACCATGGCCACTTTGTAAATGGGTCTATTGAGCAAGCACCAGGGTATCTGAGGAAGAGGCCATCCAATGTCCACGGGTTGGGTCATCTTGTCCTCCTGATTACTGAGAGTCTCATCTACAACAGAGGCCCTTGGATGAGCATTTATGTGGAACATGCATATCTATACTGTGTGGATGGCAAGAAGTCCATCTTTCCCTTGACCACCTTGTCCCTGGTCTTCTGATCTTGCTCTCTGTAAATTCCTGACCAGCTGGCCAGCCTGTTAGTTACTCCCCACAAGTCAGGGTCGATCTGTGCCTTAGCTGACCTGTAGCAGAGCACTGCTCACTAGAGAACATCCCTTCACTACAGGCTTTTGGAGCCATTCCAGAGTGGTCTGTGGTGCAACACTCTGGCTGCGTCTGTAAGAGAAGCCCGTGCTTGCTTTTCCTCCACTAACTGACCTTATTTCTTTGGAGGGCATTGGTAGAATGTGGAAGGAGATATAGTCAGGCAGCGGCATTGGATACCAGGGGATTCAGGTAGTTCCCTATGTCTTTGGATCTGCCCGGTGTATACCCATTTCTGTTTTATAATGGTAGGCTGACATGCCTCTCCCATTTTATGGCTCACTGGACTTGATAATACAGTTTGTGACAGGTACTTCAGGTTGGTGGAATCTCCTCATGTCTTTATCCTCCTCTACCTGTGCTTTATCCCACGCCACTCCCAGGGATGATTTGCTTATATGTGATGACACTGCATGTTATGGATTGCCACGGTCCCATTTCACCACAGCACAGAGGTTATCCATGTCTTCCTCAAAAATGTGAGCAACTCAATTCTGGAACCCTTTTTTTTTTTCAACAATTCTATATATTACGCAGTGCTCACCACAGGAAGTGGAGTTACCATCTGTCACCCTACAGTGTTATTACAGTATTATTGACTACATTCCCTATACTGTACTTTTCATCTCCATGACTTATTTTATAACTGGACATTTATACCTCTTAATCCTCTTCATCTATTTCACCCATCCCCCTACCACCTCCCTTTGGCAACCACCAATTTGTCCTCTGCATTTATGAGTCTGTTTCTGTTTTTTGTTTGTTGTTTGCTTGTTTATATGTTTTGTTTTTTAGATTCCACATATAAGTGAAATTATATGGTATTTGTCTTTGTCTGACTTATTTCACTTAGCATAGTACCCTCTAGGTCCATCCATGTTGTCACAAATGGCAAAATCTCATTCTTTTCTATGTCTGAGTAATAGCCCATTGTGTGTGTGTATGGAATCCTATTTTAAGACCACTCCTGATACTAACTAGTGTACCAGTAAGGTCCCAAAAAGAAATAAATGGCACACTCAAAATGGATACCTCTAGGAGAGTTTGATAAAGGAACTTTTTGCAGAGTCATGGTCAGGAAATAGGGAAACCAAAAGGAATGTGCAGTAGTCCAGGACTGACAACCTTGGGGAGCAAACAGCCCTAGGCCATGACGGAGCAGGGAGACAGAGGATTACTGGAACCAGAGAAGGTAAGTGAAGGAAAACGCTGCCTGAAAGTAGCTATAGCCTTTGATAGAAAGGAAGTTGGCCCTCAGCAAACTCACAAGAAAGGAGGCAAGCAAATAAATACTCTGACTTCAGTCTCTTCCTACTCTGATCTCCTGCTGGTACCTCCCATTGGCCAACCCCAGTAGAAAACCAGAGGGCAAAGGGAGCCTATTCGGGTAATCCTTGAAGGTCAATACCCTGAGGCACAGAGCCTGGGAGAGAACCAGGGGAAGAGATATAGAGGAGGAGATGGATCTCTATCTAGCACACAACCCAAACAAGTTTAAACAAACAGGTAATTTACTGGCTCACATGTCTGAAAAGTCAAGCTGTAAGCCTTGAAGCAGGGGCTCAAATGAGGTAATCAGTATCTGGTTTTTCCTCCATTCACAGGCTTCATATACAGGCGGGCTCTCCCATCATGCTCCAAAATGGCTCCAGAGTGCATGGCCTTTTCAAACACAGTGGAATCTATCAAAGGATTCATTGGGTCTCATTGACTCTTGTTGGGTTACATGAAACACCTGAACCAACCATAGTGCTCAGCACCAGGAAGTGGTGGTTGGCTTAGATCTCTGTCTGGACATAGCACTGAGTGGAATCATGACATGGAACTTCAATGACTAGGAGAAACGTTGATGTTGAATAGCCAAAACTCTGTGCACCCTACATCTCTCTTCTCTAATGTATGAGGAAGAACTGTTCAATTTTTTGTACCTATGGATTACCCGGGGATCCTTTTAAAGAATCTGATGAATTAGGTCTGGAGTGGGGCTTAAGATTCCTTATTTCTAACATGTGATGTCGATGCTACTGGTCCAGGGACCAGACTTTGAGTAGCAAGGTTTTATAGCTACATAGTCCAATATGGTAACCAACAGCCACATGTGTGGCTATTGAGCATTTGAAATGTGGCTAGTAACTTGAGATGTGCTGTAAGTGTATATACACACTGGGTTTTGAAGACTTAATATGAAAACTAGTTAAAATCTCATCATGAGGGCGCCTGGGTGGCTCAGTTGGTTAAGCGACTGCCTTCGGCTCGGGTCATGATCCTGGAGTCCCGGGATCGAGTCCCGCATCGGGCTCCCTGCTCAGCGGGGAGTCTGCTTCTCCCTCTGACCCTCCCCCCTCTCATGTGCTCTCTCTCATTCTCTCTCTCAAATAAATAAATAAAATCTTTAAAAAAATAAAAAAATTAAAATAAATAAAATCTCATGAGTTTTTATATAGATTACATGTTAAAATGATATTTAAGATATACTGGGTTAAATAAAATATATTTTAAAGTTAATTTCACTGATTTTAGTTTTTTAACATGGTTACTAGAGAATTTAAAAATACATATGTGGCTTATATGTTTCTGTTGGATAGTGCTACTCTAGAAGGAGGTAATGAAGTGGATGAGGGTGATAGTCTTTAAACACATTCATTTGCACTTATGGATACTCAAAAAAAAACTAATATAGCAGGGACCACGTGAGACTTGCTTCATGGGTCCTTGGACTTGGCCCACTCCTCAGGAGTTGCAGTTGAATTAATGCATCAGTGCCTAGGATAGGGAACACTGGAATGAGCCTGCTGAGGTTTGAGGAGATTCTGGGGATCCCAGAGTTGCTCCTCCCAACTAGCAGTCACTTCATTTCTCATTCTTGTTTATGCAGTTGTCTGAAGCAGAAATTACTGTGCTTACCACTTTTCTGATCTGTCGTGCACACAACCACTAAACTAATCTCTGCACTCTGGTTTAGCCCTTTCCTGCCCAGATACATGCACCCAGTTGCAGCCTGCATTCCAGGGGCTCCCTACTGAACCCGGAGGGTCTTGTCCTTCCAGTCCACCAGCCCCCAATGTGTCTCTCACTTTCCCCATCTGTCCTAAGTTATTTCCTTACTGCTGGAATCTCTGGCTCCACCAACTCCACCTTTCAAAGCCCACTTCAAGGTTATCTGCCTCCGTGGGGGTTTTTCAAGACCTGGCCCACAGAAGCCTGCCTTCAGAACTTGTAAGACATGCTGTCTCTGGCACAAGCCAGCATTTCTGTTATGGAGGGCTATGTTGTCTAACTCTTGAGTTATTAAGGTTTTCCTGCATTTGTGCCTTGATTCCTTGGGCTTTAAGTTCCTTGAGGACAGAGCCCTGTTTGGTTTATGTTTGAATTCTGCTTTTGACCGGGACCCATATAATAAGTAGATCCTCAAAAAGCACAGTTTGGTTCATTTTCCCAACATAAAATGCTAGTTGAAAATACAAAGACTTTTATTTATGCATAATTATATATTGTCAGTGATCATTTGTATAATGAAGGGTATTCTTCTTTTAAAACAAAATAGTAGCTAAATTCTGGCGAGGATGTGAAGAAAAGGAAACCCTCATTCACTGTTGGTGGGAATATAAACTAGCAGAGCCACTATGGAAAGCAGTATGGAAATTCCTAAAAAAATTAAAAATAAAACTATATGATGCAGCAATTCCATTTCTGGGTATATATCCAAAGCAAATGAAAACACTGTGTCAAAGAGATATCTGCACTTCCATGTTCATAGCATTATTTATAATAGCTGATACGTGGAGACAACCTAAGTGCCCACTGATGGATGGATAAAGAAGTTGTGGTATACACACACACACACACACACACACAAATTGTACACACACACACACACACTGAAATACTCAGCCATTTAAAAAAGAAAGCCTGCCATTTGAGACAACATGGATGGACCTAGAGGGCATTATGCTAAGTGAAATAAGACAGAAAAATACTACATGATCTCACTTATATATGGAATCTAAACAAAGAACTAAACTCTTAGAAATCAGATGTGTGGTAACTAGAGGTGGGAGGTGCGGGGAGGAGGGAATGGATGAAGGTGGTCATAAGGTACAAACTGCCAGTTATAAAATAAGTAAGCACTGGGGATATAATGTACAACATGATGATTATAGTTAATACTGCTGTACAGTATACTGAAACTTGTCAAAGAGAGTAGATCCTAAGAGTTATCAGCACAAGGAAAAAAAGTCTTTTTTAAAATCTGTATGAGATGAGGGATGTTAACTTACTGTGGTAATCACTCACAATGTATGTAAATCAAGTCATTATTCAGTATACCTTAAACTTAACATAGTGCTATATGTCAGTTGCATCTCAGTGAAACGGGGCGGTGGCGGGGGGGAAGGCAGGATGGAAAATTAAGCTTTAATCATTGCATAATTTTTTTACTTCATTTTTACGTTAAATTTAAAAAAACTTATCTTGAGATAATTATAGATTCACAGGAAGTTGCAGTAATAGTACAGAGTAGTTTCTGAACCTCTCCTACAATTTCCCCCAATGGATACATCTTAAGTAACTGTGATACAATATCAAACCAGGAACTTGACACTTGTATGGTCACATTTGCTTCATATATCCTTTATTATTTTTTTCTCAATTTACTTAAGTATTTAAAACAAATCCCTGGGGCACCTGAGTGGCTCAGTTGGTTAAGCGTCTGCCTTTGGCTCAGGTCATGATCTCAGGGTCCTGGAATCAAGTCCCGCATCGGGCTCCCTGCTCAGCGGGGAGTCTGCTTCTCCCTCTGCCTCTGCCCATCCCCCGCTCGTGCTCGCTCACTCTCTCACTCAAATAAATAAAATCTTTAAAAAAATAAAATAAAAACAAATCCCAGATACCTTTTATTTCATACCAATATACTTCAGATTTGGACTCTTTAACAAATTTGGACATTTTCTTGTGTAACCACAAAGCTATTATCACATCTTAAAAAAATATTGATCATCTTTTTTTTTTTTAAGATTTTATTTATTTATTTGAGAGAGAGAGAATGAGAGACAGAGAGCATGAGAAGGAGGAAGGTCAGAGGGAGAAGCAGACTCCCCGCCAAGCAGGGAGCCCGATGCGGGACTCGATCCCGGGACTCCAGGATCATGACCTGAGCTGAAGGCAGTCGCTTAACCAACTGAGCCACCCAGGCGCCCAAAAAAATATTGATCATTCTTTGGCATCATCTAATACCTGAATTTCCCCCATTGTCCCAAGAATGTCTTTTTTTTTTTTTTTTTTAAGATTTATTTATTTATTTGAGAGAGCCAGAATGAGAGAGAGTACATGAGGGGGGGAGGGTCAGAGGGAGAAGCAGGCTCCTCGCTGAGCAGGGAGCCTGATGCGGGACTCGATCCCGGGACTCCAGGACCATGACCTGAGCCGAAGGCAGTCGCCCAACGAACTGAGCCACCCAGGCGCCCCAAGAATGTCTTTTTTTAAGAAGTAAAATACACATGACATAAAGCATACCATCTTAACTATTTTTTAAGTATATAGTTCAATAATGTTAAGTACATTCACATTGTCATACTGCCAATCTCCAGAACATATTTCCTTGTGCAAAACTGAAACCTTGTACCCATTAAACAATGACTCTCCATTCTCTCCTCCCCTCACACTCTGGAAACCACCATTCTATTTTCTCTATATAAATTTGGCTGTTTTATTTATTTATTTTTAAAGATTTTATTTAGTTATTTGACAGAGAGAGAGAGAGAGAGAGAGTCAGCGAGAGGGGGAACACAAACGGGGGGGAGAGGGAGAAGCAGGCTTCCCGCCGAGCAGGGAGCCCGACGCGGGGCACGATCCCAGGACCCCAGGACCATGACCTGAGCCGAAGGCAGATGCTCAACGACTGAGCCCCCCAGGTGCCCCAAATTGGGCTATTTTAGATACCTCATATAAATGGAATTATACAGTATGTGTCTTTTTTGCAACTGGCTTATTTCACTTAGTGTAATGTCTTCAAGGTTCATTCATATTACAGCATATGTTAGAATTTCATTCCTTTTTAGGGATGAATAGTATTCCATTGTATGTGTATACTACATTCTGCTTATCCATGCATCTGTCAAGGGGTATTAGGGTTGCTTATAGAATTTGGTTGTTGGGAATAACGTTGCTATGAATATGAATATACAACTTTCTCTTCAAGACCTTGCTTTCAGTTCTTTTGGTTATATATTCAGAAGTGGAATTGCTGGATCATATGGTATTTCTGTGTTTAATTTTTTGAGAAACTGGCATACCATTTTCCACAGCAACCGCACCATGTTACATTCCCACCAGCAGTGCACAGGGCTCCAATTTTTCCATGTCCTTGCCAACACTTGTTATTTTCTGGCATTGTTTTATTGATGGTAGGCATCCTAATGGGTGTGATATGGTATCTTGTGTGTGTGTGTGTGTGTGTGTGTTTGAGAGAGAGAGAGTGGGGGGGGGGGGGACAGAGGGAGAGGGAGAGAGAGAATCAAGCAGGCTCCATGCCCAGTGCAGAACCCAATGTGGGGCTCAGTCTCACGACCCTGAGATCACAACCCGAACCGAAATCAAGAGCAGCCCCTTAACCTACTGAGCCACCCAGGTGCCCCTTATTGTGGTTTTAATTTGCATTTTCCTAATGATTAGTGATGTTGAACATCTTTTCCTCTATTTATTAGTCATTTGTATATTTCCTTTGGAAAAATGTTCAAGTCCCTTGCCCGTTTTTAAATTGTGTTATATTTCTTTTTTGTTGAGTTGCAAGAGTTCTCGATATTAACCTCTATCAGTTATATGACCCAAGAATGTCTTTTTACAATCGATCTGTTTGAACAAGGATCCAACATAGTCACCCTATATTATATATGTTTTATTGTCTAATCTGGAGGAAATCCCTCTCCCTGTTGTTTTCCCCCTGTCATTAACTTGTGGCAGAATTCAGGTTCACAGTCATGTAGACTTACGGTTTTGTATTTTAACTTTGCTGTTGCCCTCCAAAATTTTCTGCTTTTGCCTTTGATAATTTCAGCAGTGAATTTCCCCTATTGAAAAATGAGGGTTTTTCAATCAAAGGTTCCTAGAAGACTACGCCCAAAATGAGAAGAGGAAGCTTTCTTGGTGTCTGGGAACCTACCCGTGGGGAAGTGGGCATTGGGGAAGGAATGTGGGAGAGGTGTGAGGATCAGATGGGAGTGAAGTGAGCACATTCAGGTCACCAGCCTGGCCTGAAAGAATGGCAGTGTTTCCCACGACTCTACTGGTGTTACCCTGAGGACCCCTCCCCCCAACCCCATGACCAGAAGCCAACCCAAAGACTGTCCCCCCAGCCATAGATGGCAGGGTGGATCCTGGGGGGCTCTTCCAGGACCACACTGAGGCTCTGCTCCCCAGGGGACACTGGAGAGGGAAGTCTTATCTCAGGGCTGCCCTGAATACACAGGGCCTTTCTAGGAGTCCCTGCGGGCACAGGGGCAAGGCTGGGGAGCCCCCAGTATCCAGGAGGCTCAGGAGCCAGGACATGGTAACAGAAGGACCACTGAGTGAAGACCTATGGTCACTGATAATGTCTGGGCACTCTAAAAGATCACTAGAGTTATCTCTTGGATTAGAATTATCACTGATTTTTTAAAATCATATATTTTCCAAATTTTCTTGAGTGAACAGTAAAAAAAGTGACATTCTATTTAAAAACAGATCAAAACCAGGGTACCCAACTGGCTCAGTCAGTAGAGAATGCAACTCTTGATCTCGGTCAGGGTTGTAAGTTCAAGCCCCACATTGGATGTATAGATTACTTAAAAATAAAATCTTTAGGGGTGGCTGGTGGCTCAGTCAGTTAAGTGTCCAACTCTTGATTTTGGCTCAGGTCATGATCTCAGGGTTGTAAGATTTAGTCCCATGTCAGGCTCCGTGCTGGACATGGAGTCTGCTTGAGATTCTCTCTCACCCTCTCCCTCTGCCCCCCCCCACCACACGTGTATGCTCACTCTCTCTCCAAAAAAAAAAAAAAACACCTTTTTTTTAAAAGATTTTATTTATTCATTTGACAGAGCGAGCACAAGCAGGGGGAGGGGCAGAGGGAGAGGGAGAGGCAGACTCCCCGCTGAGCAGGGAGCCCTATGCAGGGCTCAATCCCAGGACCCCGGGATCATGACCCAAGCTGAAGGCAGATGCTTAACCAACTCAGCCACCCAGGCTCCCCTCTCAAAAAAAAAAGAAAATCTTAAAAAAAAATAAATAAAAGTAAAAATAGATCAAAATCTTCAGGATTAACACAGATATGCTTAAGGATGACCATTATTGATAACTGAGTTCTCCAGAGATCTGTGGGCTGGAAGTTCTCCAGACTTTCCTTGGAGCCTAGAAGGGCCAAACGAGGACCCAGAAACGTGACACAATCCAGGGAAGACCAAGCTTGGTGGAGGGGAGCAGTCTCCCCAGAGTCTGGAACTGAGGTCCCTATTCCTGGTTCTGCCTGCAGCCCTGGTGAGGCCTGGGACCTGTGAGGAGGAGGCCCAGCCTTCAGGAAGCCCCTGCCAAACCCACTGGAGCCTACCCAATGGGCCAATTTCTCTTACCGGGAGAGCTTTATCCCAGGTTACTGCCTCTAAACCCCCAGACACAAGTGACACCTGCTATTCCAAAAGTAAAGAACTCTTTATTATAAACCCAGGATACAGAAGAGAAAGGACACACATAGGGCATATCTCAGCTCTCTGAAGTTCTCACAATGCATACAAAACAGGGATGAAAGATACTTTTTTTCAAATTGTTTAAAAATAATCCCCAAGATCAAAGTGAGGATAAGTGCACAGTTAGCTAAGTGCTTCATCAAGATCATGCAGAGAGGGGCCTCCAGTCCCAAGACCCTGAGGAAAGGTACCTTGCCCTAGCCCTGGCTGGGTGTGGAGCAGCAAAGACACATTTTTCGATTAGATTTAGGGTCCTGGGGTCTGGCCTGGGACAGAGCCCTGAGCCCATGCCATTTTCTCCCCCGAGGAGAGCTTGAAGATAACTAGCATACAAATCCCCTGGGAGGGAAGTCTGCAGCTTACTCGCTCTGCGAGTTCAAGCGGCCCTCTTCCTTGCTCTGTGCTTCACTGAAGGCACAAGTGCTGGCACATTGGGCTCTTTCCAGAGTTAGGTTTCAATGAAGAGGGAAAAAAAGGGAAAAGGAATATAAATGTGTCCCACCTTTGTCCAAGGTTAAGCCCCCTCGAGAGTGATTCAAACACAGCTACTGCCAGTTCTCCCCACCCTACTTAGTTCTCAGGTGGAGAAACTGAGGCCTAAGATGTGTTGGACAGGTCAGGGCTGGTTCCGCTGGTCCTCTTAGTGCCAGCTGGCTCTGGATTTCACTGTCTTGGCTGATAACCCAGCCCGCGGACGTGCCAACGTGCCACTTACAGCCACTGGTTCCGTGCAGGACATGAGATGCAACGTCCACAGCTATGTATGGTGGCTACAGATATGTCTGTGGAGTCGGCATCTCCAGGAATGAGAGGCAAGTGGAGCACAGATTACCCCTACAACTGCAGGAGGAAGCAGGGGCAGAAGTACACGTACGGGCAGACAGAGAGATGCACACACACCCAGGGGCCCACGGCAGTCTTCAGGGCAGGGACAGGGCCTTGGCGAGGCGAGTCCAAAACCAGGACTTGGTGCAGGGGTTGGTGTAGTCGCATACGGTGATGAACCGCAAGATGCTGGGGAACTCTTTCTTCATTGCCTTGTACTTGATGGGGATCAATCGCTTCTGATGGGCACCTGCAAGCCAAGGAGTTCCAAGCTGGCACCTGGCCCTCACCCCAGAGTGGGGGGGATCAGTCCTCCGCCCAGGGGTTAACAGACCTCCCCCCAACTAAGCACCCTGGCACACATTCACCCACTCAGAGGGCACTCGTGTGCACGCACACTCAGGTGTACAGAAACCTACAGGAGTTCCTCAGTGCTGCATCCAGGGCCCTGGGTGAGGGACCAATGGCCTCCTGAGGCCCCACCCACCCACTCCTCTGTGGCAAAGCAGTGCTTACCTGGAGAGAGGCTGAGCGCAAACTTAGTCTGGAAGTCACATTCCTTGCTTTGCAGGTAATCATCAGAGACAACCACCACCATCCGGCGGCACCTAGGGGAGAGTGGGCAGGCTGCAGCCACTGTGGCAACCTAGCTCAGCATACCCCCCAGGGGACAGACTCAGGAGTCCACTGTGCCCAGGCTAGACAGGGCCCGGCTAGGAGAATCCGAGCATCTGGATCTCTTGGGCAGGGCTTTATGTACCCACCCGCTTGCCCCCTGGCCACTTAGCCAACCTCTTCTCAATGAGCTCACTGGCAATGGACCAGACACAGGTGCCAGGCAGGACATCACGATCAGACACACACAACTTCAGCCGATAGTCTGTCTGTTCCAGCTGCCGGATCATCTCCTGAACAAACTGGATATCGCTGGGGCAGTAGCAGATGAAGGCATCAAAACGCTCAGGCATTTGCCCTGGGTGCAGAGCACAAGGGTGATATCAAAGCTCTACAGAGGAGCCCAGGCAGGAACCCCCAGCCTAGGTGACCTTGGTCCTGAACCCTACACCAATCCTGAGATGACACTAAGAGAAAGTGCCCTTCCTAGAAGAGGGAAGATGAGTGTCTCTCCCCCCACCCTCCCTGCTCCGGGGGCCAAGCCCTGGGTTGACCATGAGACAGACACATCATTTCATGAGTCTCATACCAACTCAGACGTAGGATTATTATTATTCCCATTTCTTAGGTGAGAAAATGGGGAGATCAATCAGAGAGATCAAGAGATTAAGGGGCCACAGCCCACCTGCTTTCAAAATCTATGCTCCTAACACAGTATCTTATGACCCACCTGTCACACCTGGGGAGCAATATTGTATCCTTACCCAAGGGGTCATCAAGCATGGTGATGCCCCCCCGCTCTGGTGTCCGTGGGTCACTGCTGTCTACAGCAGGCACCTGTAAGGGCTTCTCAGACTCCTCCTGCTGCTGTTTCAGAATATACTTTTGGCAATCCTCCTCTGTGGAGAAGAGACAAGGTGTGGCAGGCTCCCCCAGTTTGTCCCATGCCTCTACCTACAGTTAGGATCCAGCCCTTGTCCCACTCCCTTAACTATGTTGTGCTCCAGGCCTTTTCCAGCACTCTGGTGCCATCCACAGTTCAACAGCTCTGAAAAGTTGCGTTCCCATCTGGCTCTTGACCATCCCACAGTGTTGGTCGTCTGGGAAGTCGTCATGGTCAGGCTTGTGTCTTTCTGTCCCTTTGTCCTGGCCCTCCTTCCTAGAACTCCTGAGAACAGAACCCAAAGTGTGCTTCTTCCAGGACCCACGGCTGATGGGAGCAGGGGACTGGGCATGCAAGAACAGCTCAGGAGACCCAGTGGTTATGTGCAGTGAGGGCTGAGGCCCCAACCAAGCAAGATGCATCATCTGTGGGCCACTGTTCTTACACCTATGCATGCATATTATGTGTCAGCGAGGGGCAGGAAGGGGTGCATTTTCCCAGGGACATGAGGTTTCCATGACAGCTTTCAGTCCCTCACCTGCCCTGTTGCTCTACCCGAAGCAGTCCTAACTCCCCCACAAAGGACCCCGATTCTGACTCCTGGCCCTACGTGAAAGCCTTTGCCTAAGATGTTTCCCTGTGTTCTCTGCCTCTCCCCAGCCTTCACCTCCTTTCTCCAGGTCCTATCGCCCCCACTGAAAGAGGGAATTGGTCTCACACAGCGGTACCACCTCTGCAGGCTGCCTCCAGCGCCCCCACCCCGCCCCATTAAGGCATTAAAGGAGGGCCTCTCCAGGGGAGGTTAGATGCTGAGGCTGGTGAAGGTCAGCTCCCTCATCCCCCTCGTTATGAGGCCCGGAAGCGCGTGTCCTCACCGATGCCGGGCCCCAGTTCCACCAACACGTCCTCGCGGCCGAGCTTGGTGAGCAGCTCAAGCAGGCGGCCCACCGAGGCGCCAGGGCGTCCCTGCCAGTCGTCCAGCAGCTTGCCCGTGGGGTCGGCGTGCGTCTCCAGATGCCGGATCTCCAAGTACTCGAAGCCCATCTCCTCGGCCAGCGCGGTCCAATCGGCCGCCACCTGCGTCCGCACGTTCAGGAACAGCGACAGGCGGCGCCGCACTCGCACGTTGAGAGCAGCCAGCGGCAGGGAGGACATGGAGCAGGCGGGGGACGCGGACTCCGCGCGGGAGACTTCTGCAGCCATGGTGGGATACCCCCGGAGCCCCAGCGCTGTGGAGTTGCGTCGCCTGTCCGCGCTTCCTCCTTCCTTTACCGCCATCCCCGCCCCCGGCCCAGCCCCGCCGGTTTCTGTTTCCGAGAAGCTCCGCCCTGCGCGTCAATCTGGAGCCCTAGCAGCTGTGTGAAGGTGGGGATGCCCCATCTCGGCTCTCGGGGTCTGGGGCAACAGGGGATATGGGAACCGGGGACCTGCCGTTTGAGGTCTGTGGAGGCCCACCGACCCGTCCTTCGGGGTCTAGTGCGGGGGCGGGAGGGGCGTCGCACGACCCTCCTTTGGGGGCTGTAGGAAATAGGGGCCTTGCTCTTTGGGATCTATCTGGTAGAATCACATCCTTTCTGTGGGGGAACTGAGGATGGCGGGGAGGGGGCAAAGGAGGAGACCCCCCCCCCCATGCTCGTCCCTGGATCTCTTGGGAAGGCACAATCCAGAGGTGAGATGGGAAAGGGGGTATACTCCCTTCTGAAGTCTGAGGCATGCCATGGCCCTGCCTTTGAAAGGTGGGAACCCCTCTGGGGTTGGGGGTAACAGGGCACCCTGGCCTTTGGTGTCTAGGAGAAACGCAGTACCACTACTCTCTGGGGTCGAGGGAACGCATTACCATTGGGAGTCAAGGGGGCACCTGGCCTTGCTCTTTAGAGTTGTGGGGGGCGGGAGGTTGGGAAGCACAGTCCTGACCTAAGGAGCTCTGGTCTTCCATTGAATCGGTATTGATCACCTACTAAGTGTCAAGCATGTTGCAGGCACCCCGGATACAAGCCCCTCCCTGCCTCCGTGGAGACCCCAGCCTAGTGTGGGAGGTGGGCACTAATTAAATAAACCCAAACCACTGTAAAATTGATAGATGCATGCATAGGGATAGGGAGTTTGTCACACCTCAGCAACGTAACACAATCTGTTCTCCTGCTGCACCAGAGTCCCCAGTTCCCTCTGTTTTCTCGAAAGACTTCCCAAGAGAGCACAAGCACGTCGGGGTAAGAGTCTGGGGCCTCTGGGAATTATTTAAGATCCCCAGCTTGGATACTGAGATAAAGGAGACAGCAGAGAAAACTAACAAGGGGGGGAAGAGGAATTAAGAGTCCCTGCCTCCTCCCCAAGCAGGAAACCGTGGGCGGGCGGGTTGGGGGGTGGTGCTGGCCTGGTAGCACCTGGGTTTGGTAGCCTGCAGTGGGCAGGGTTATAGGGGAAACAGCCCCGGCAATGGCGGACTTTGTTTCAAGATACTGAAAGGGCTATGCAGCGCCTGGGTGGCTTAGTCGGTTGAGCTTCTGATTCTTGGTTTCAGCTCAGATCAAGATCTCAGGGCCTACAGATCTAAACCCCAAGTGGGGATCGTGCTCATTGTGGAGTCTGCTTAAGATTCTCTCCCTCCCCCTCTGCCTCTCCCCCAGCTCATGCGCTCAGGCTCGCTCTCTCAAATAAGTAAAAATTGTTTAAAGATTATTTATTTGAGAGAGAGAGCGAGGGAGAGAGCCAGAGAGAGAGCACAAACGGAGAGGAAGGGCAGAGGGAGAAGCAGACTCCCCACTGAGCAGGAAGCCCCATGTGGGGCTCGATCCCAGGACCCCGGGATCATGACCTGAGCCAAAGGCAGATAGTTAACTGACTGAGCCACCGAGGCGCCCCAATAAATAAAATCTTAAAAAAAAAACACACACAAGACTCTGAAAGGACTCTTAAGCAAGCAGGACTGCAAGGGGAAGGGTTTCCTGCCGGCATTTCTGGGCGGGGCTTCGGAAGGGGCTACGGCAGGCGGGGCTTCGGGGCTTTGAGGGGAAAGACTCTCCATCAAAACAAGAGCTCTGCTTTAGGTGGTTTGATTAGAAGCAGGGGGCGGGACCTGAGGTAGACCCCTTCTGGTTGGCTGAGGTGGGAGGTGGGCGAGACTTGGGGGCGGGGCTCTGAGCAGGGTTAAAGCGTCAGGGCAGAGTGGGTTCCGCGCCTGCGCGGGCGGAGGTCTGTTGGCGTCTACGCTGTTCCCGGCGGAGTGGTGGGGGGAGGGTCTACTGGGCCGTGTCGCGCGATGCGGAGGCTGCAGGTGGTGCTGGGCCACCTGACGGGCCACCCCCATTCTGGGGGGGTGCCGGAGCCGCAGGCCACGCCGTGCTTGAGCGGCGCCCCGCGGGTGTCGCCCGAGGACGTGGTGGTGGTGCACGGGCGGCGCACGGCCATTGGCCGAGGGGGCCGCGGCGGCTTCAAGGTGAGGCCCCTGGGTCCCGGCGCCGGGTGGGAGTCGGCGGGCCTGAGCGGGCTGGGGTCTGGCCCCTCGGCGCCCTAGGTGGCTCCGCGCCCGAGCTGTGACCGCTGTGTCTCTCGGGTGGGGTGGGGGAGCGGGGGTCCCGGGAACCCCGTGCACTGCTGGCGGGGGGTCACCGTGGCCGCGCCTCCCGCTGCAGGACACCACCCCTGACGAGCTTCTCTCGGCCGTCATGACCGCGGTTCTCCGGGACGTGAAGCTGAGCCCGGCCCAGCTGGGGGATATCTGCGTGGGTGAGCACACTGCCCAGGCCCTGGGCTTGTTCCTCCGCGCCCTCCATGCGGCCAAAGCCCTCCTCAAACACCTCCTCACCCTCCAGGCACCTTCCGGAATGGCAAGGGACTCCATGCAGTGCATGTAATCGTTTCTTTAGGGCTCGGTCCTACCCTTCCCTCCCGCCTCCAGGCACTTTCTGCCCCCTCCGCAACCACGTTTTGCCTGTGACGTACGATGGCAAGCAGCGGTCCCCATGCCATTCTAACACCCAAGCACGGGAGTTTGCGGACAGCGTAGGAGACAGGAGTCAGGGTTCTCTTAACTCATCCCGTCTGTGCCACCACACAACAGAAGGACCATCAAAAGCCATGTAGTTCAGCCCCTCCCCCTCACAGATGGAGACACTAGGTCCTGAGAAATTTGCTGCAGAGATTGGACCTGAATCCAGGGCCCCTTGACATTCAGTCCAACCCTTTACCTCTAACCCTACTCCTCTAGCCTGGAAACAGTAGAACAGGGCCAGACTCCTATCAAGTAGGGGCCATCCTTAGGTGGGGAATCACTGTTCCACGTCTGAAATGCCAGCAGGGTTTGGCTGAGGACACTCAGAGAGGTGTGCGTTTTCAGAAATTCATTTTCCTAACTGACAAGACCAGTTCGTTTGACTGCAAGCTTTGCACTACAGTCTTCTTTCCATCTTTCCTTTAAAGGCAGGCAGTCAGCCTGCCCACTGTGCATTGATTTGGGAAAGGAGGGTGCAGGTCAAGGGAGCTTGCAACGCTTGGGAACTGGGTTTAACTGTATGACCGGGGCGAGCTGCTGTATGACAGGCTCCTTCAAATTCCAGAGCTCCAAGGGAGCCTGCTGGGGGCTTGAAGAAAGATCTGGAATGTCCCCTTTCTACTATTCACAACTGTACCTTAGTGTCTAGAACACTATCTGGCACTGAATAAAGGTTTGTTGTCCACAGGAAATGTGCTTCAGCCGGGGGCCGGAGCAATCATGGCCCGAATCGCTCAGTTTCTGAGGTAAACTTTTCTAGTTCTAGCTGTATGTTGGCCATTTTGACTCGAGCAGGCTCAGGCACCAGGGAACTCGGCTTATGTGTGGAAGAGGATCAGGTTGGACACCAGACCTGGATGCAGCCAGGGTCCTTGGCACCCTGCTTTTGTGGACACTACCTTTCCCCTACTTTGGCATTGTCTTTTTTTTTTTAAGATTTTATTTATTTATTTGACAGAGAGAGACACAGCGAGAGAGGGAACACAAGCAGGGGGAGTGGGAGAGGGAGAAGCAGGCTTCCCGCTGAGCAGGGAGCCGGATGTGGGGCTCGATCCCAGGACCCTGGGATCATGACCTGAGCCGAAGGCAGATGCCTAACGACTGAGCCACCCAGGCACCCCTCTTTTCTTTTTTCTTTTCTTTTCTTTCACCTCTATGCCCAGTGTGGGGCTTGAACTCAGGCCCCCAAGATCAAGAGTTGCATGCTCTACCATTTGAGCCAGCCAGGTGCCCCTGCCCTACTTTGAAGGAAGGTTGCATTATCGACACTGAACCAGGACAAACAGGGCCTTTGAGACTAGAGCAAAAGCTCCCTGGCCTGATGATTTAGCCAAAGTCAGCTTGTTGTTTTGCCTTTGTAAGTGTGGACTCTGTCCTTTTTTTGCCAGGTAACCAGGAAGGCACACTGAAGAGTGAGCTTTTTAAAGCTAGTTGAACAAGCTGAGACCTTCAAGGCATAGCACATCAGCAGAGACTTGGGGATGTGGCAGAACCCTGGGGTGAGGGGTAGCCCAGGAGGGGCCCTGGGAAACTTGCCCTTCACCACTTGCTGTCCCAAGACAAGGGAGGAGTGCTTAAATTATTGTCATGTGTAGATTTAAGAACCACTTAAATTTGCACTCCCTACTACCTGGAAAAGAAATAATAGGAACATTAGCCAGTGAAGGAACAGGAAAATTGACAAAACCTCTAGGGCCTAGGATAGGTTCAGACTGCTTAGCGTGGAGTTCAAGGATTCCCTCGATCTGGCTCCGGACTTCTTACCATCCAGTCTTATCTCCTGCTGTTCATTTGCCTTGACTTTCCCTCTTTTTTTTTTTTTAAGATTTTTATTTATTTGACAGAGAGCGAGAGAGGGAACACAAGCAAGGGGAGTGTGAGAGGGAAAAGCAGGCTTCCTGTGGGGCAGGGAGCCCGAGGCAGGGCTCAATCCAGGGCTCGATCCCAGGACCCCGGGATCATGACCTGAGCCAAAGGCAGACGCTTAACGACTGAGCCACCTAGGCACCCCTTGACTTTTCCTCTTTCAGCCCGCCTGTCTGCCCACTGTCTTCCCTGTTCTGGTCATTCTGTCCCCTTGGAGTGCTGTCCCTACCTCCTCTCTCTGCACTGTTATTTCAGTCTCTGCTAGCTGATTCATTTTCTGTGTGTTGGTCAGCCATCCTCTAGGGCATGTCAGCATCCCTCAGGTGGTGCTTTGTATTGAGCAGGTGTTTAGTGAACAGCTGGTAGATTGGGTGAGGAGGTGGTAACTAGGTAGTAACTAGCTGGTAAGGAATTAGGAGACCTGGGAAGGGTTACACAGGCTGCATGGGCCTAGGAGGCTACCTACCTGAGACGCTCTCAGCAGAACCTGGCCTGGGCA